CAAAGTGTATGGGGTCGTCGTGTTGGATTAATAGTCCGCGAGGGCATCGAGGGTACTTCTGCTACTCTTCAAAACAATTTTACAGGGGTCACAATTGTTTAAATTGCAGCAACACTTTTGAATCTGTCAATATCTAATAGCCATAAAAAAAAAAATTCAAGTTATCAATCAATCGAGAGACGAGACCTAATCGTCCACGTCGCTCGTCCCGGAGAAGTTTGATGTTGACGAATCGTACGTGCAGTACTCGCTACCACTCTCTTGCCTACCAATATCCACAACTTCAGCCGCACGGAGAGCTCGATCAAGGTCCAGGGGCTTTGACGTCGATGCTTCAATAGTGCTGTGAATGGCGTCGGAGTCCAGATTAAGGAACGCACGCTCGAGACGGTCTCGAACATCTTGGCAGGTCGTCGTGGAGTTGTACTGGCGCACAACTATGCCCTTGACGTCGGCCCATATCATCTCACATGGTTGCATCTCCGAGTATTCCGGCGCTGAGTGAACAACATGATGTCCCCGGGACTTCCCCATATCACATACCACTGATAGGACATGCTCGTCAAATGCTTCTTCACTCGCTTCCAAATGATCGCCTTGAGTTCTGTCGGTGAAACGTCAGGGATGTTGAATTCCACCAAGCTTGATTCAACGCCTGCTTCCGCTGTGGTTCCTTGGGATTGACTTTGGCTTCCCATTGTGGTACTTTGCATTGTTCATAACGAACACAGAGGACAACCAGCCAAGCTCCTCTACATCGTCGATCAATCGACCGAACCAGTCGACAAAGTTGTCGTGGTTGAAAATGGTGTGGTAGTCCTTCACGATTTTACCGTTCTTCTTGCCGCCGACGAAAATGTCCAATCCCAACACGTGGGCCGCGTCGGAGCTGTCGTCAAGTATTGCTGCAACGAAGTAGTACCGTCAACCCTTGTGCTTGGGCTCGGTGGCTTTGTCATTGGGGTCAAACAAGCTGTCGGAGTGACGGCAACAGTAGTGGTGTATGAAACTCTCATCCAGGTAAACAACAGGTGGGCGCGGGGTGGCAGTGGGCACCATTGTGCTGACGTAACTATCCCGAGCTTATTCGTCGGCGTTGGAGGCACTGTACGTAACGGACCTGGCGTTGCCCCCGCGTTCATACCCTTGATTGGCAAGGAGGATCTGCACAGATCGCAGGCACGCAGCATAGTCCTTGGGATGATGTGGGTCCACTAACACAACTTGCTTGTCTTCAAGCATGACAAGCACGTCCATCGCAACCGTTCTTGTACGTGTGACACAGCGGTCTCGAATGAAGCGCTTGACCATTGCGCGCACAGAGCGTGTGTTCGGGGCCCTTGAGAGTTGATACATTGTGTTTAGTGGTGGAACGGCAACGGAAACATCTCCTTGTGTCAAGAACTCGGCTACAGTCGACTTGACTGTGCGGACACCATGCCCAAGCAAAGTAACGACAACACCAGAGTAGTCAGAGCAACTATTCTCTCGAAGGGTTGTATAGGCCAAAGGGTGTCCAGTTTCTCCTCGTACGAAAGTTTTGATTCGTGCCACGACCCCTCCTCCGTCCATGACACAAACAGGAAATTTGGTTTTGGCGCATAAGTCTGTGACGACGTAAACCTGGTGGGAATCGATTGACCGCATCTCAACAATAATTTTGCGCTGAATTTAACGTACATTGGCGAAGAAATGCGAAAGATAGATCAAAAATAGTGAAATTTGGTTCACTTTGAACGGTTAATTTGATGGAGTGGCATCAATTTATACAGGCTTCTTTCGATCTAAAAAATATAGAAACGCATCGAACTCTTTCTTCAGGCTTGTCATAGTGTTTCACAAGTATTTAAATTTCACTGGATCTTTTTCGATAAAGTGAAGAAAGAATCACATCATATTGTGTATGTCATTCGGTAGTGCAATTGACACTGTAAATTGACGTGCTCGCACTGACAAGTCCGAAACTTCAAAAATCGAGGAAATTGTTTCAGCAAAACGCAAGATACGAGCAAAAGTTCGTTCGATGCCGTCGTGGACTGTAAATGAGCTTCTTTAGAGGTAGTATAAATATGTTGCAGTAGGTTTCCTGAGGTGATTGAATCATTTGATGTGGCCATGACAGGCTCAGGGCTTCGGTTACGTAGACCACTGACGGGAAAACATGCGATTTCAACCATGGATATTCGGACAACACTCGCAGGACGTTGAAGACTTTCGTGTAGCCCTTCTTGAGAGGTAAATCCCGGAGAAGAATCGTCAAGTGAAGGTTAATGAGACTGGCGGCGTGGATTGCCATTTCCAATGGAGTCTTGAATGGTAGGTCGGGACGAAACGATCGGCGCGCTTTCGCCAAAGTTGGTACTAAACGCACGCTCGGACGACGGACCAGGCCTTCAGATATCCTCGGACGTAGTAGCCATCCGGCTGCTTGGGGAGCTCAAAAAACAGTTTTCATTTCGTTGCGTGGGAATGGACACCCCAACACTTGCTGAATTTTCTACA